TGTGTTTTGGTAGTAAGTAGTGTTGTAAAAAAAACGTTTTTTTTCAGTTGAAAAAAACACGTGAAAAAAAACATGTTTTTTTTCACTGAAAAAAAACAAAAGTTGTTTTTTTTCATCCCCACCCACGTATGGTAGTAAAAGGGCGCCTCGCTGTCGGCAATGCTGACTCAGCATATCGTATAGTCTATACGGTATTATAATAGAAGAGTTAAGACCTGCGGCTTTATAGTACACCTATAGGTGGATGCATAGTTGGTAGAAATGCCGAAAAGAGAAGGCTCAGGGCGAAAGCCAACAGCGTTAAACAATTTGTTTAAGAATATTACTAATGGTAAATAAGAAACTATAATTAGTATTTAATATTCTTCTAGTGACAGAATGTGCCAAAAATTCTTTCCTCAGCAGTGACATTTCGAAAATCCTGTCACTTAATATAATTTGAGTATTTTTGACCATTTTTTTGAAAAAAAACAAGACTGTTTTTTTTAGTGACAACACTAGTAGTAAGTGACTGTTCGCAAAATATCACCTTTTCAAGTCTACCATAGTAGAAGTTATATTAAAAAAACTGGTATGATAAGTAACACCTTGTATAATAATAATAATTATATATAATAATATATATTATAATAATATAACTGGAAACAAATTTTCGAACGCAAGAACGAAAAATACGCTGTATACAGCGTATACCTGGAATGTCCTTAAAAACCCCGTATAGCATACGCCTTGCCCACTGACGGCGCGAGCAGAGCAGGCAAGACAGAGAAAGCATGCTTAGGCAAGACGCCTTCGTAGCACGCTGCAGTGCAGCGGCTGCACTTTATCTCTGACTTGTTGAATATGCAGCGACCGAAAATGTTTCGCGTCGAGTTACCAGAAACCGATATGTTTGCAAATTTGGTCAAGTTTTTGTCCAGCGACGAATTCGAAGAAAGTCGGTAAATATTTTCAATGTTTTGTTTGCATTTGTTGTTGTTGCTGCTTGGGTAATTGTCCTTGCAACATGTTCTATTGTTTATCATTAATTTTTAACTTGATTTTTACTCACATGAATTTGGACGTTAACTAGTTAATATTACTTTTATATCCAGCTTTACGAATTATTCATTGAATTTTAATAATTATTGCATTACTAATTCCCTAATCGTATTTTTAACCACGATTTTTACCGTTTTTATGGACTGAAATTTGGCTAATTGTTTAAATATTCCCTATTAACCATAATGTTTGTTTTTTTCGTCTTATTTGGAATAAATTATATGGAAATTTTAATAAAAACAAGTTTTAAATTTATATGAAAATAAGGCAATTAAAAAAATATTAAAGAAGTTTAGTTAGTGACAACACTAGTAGTAAGTGACTGTTCGCAAAATATCATTTTTTCAAGTCTACCATAGTAGAAGTTATATTAAAAAAACTGGTATGATAAGTAACACCTTGTATAATAATAATAATTATATATAATAATATATATTATAATAATATAACTGGAAACAAATTTTCGAACGCAAGAACGAAAAATACGCTGTATACAGCGTATACCTGGAATGTCCTTAAAAACCCCGTATAGCATACGCCTTGCCCACTGACGGCGCGAGCAGAGCAGGCAAGACAGAGAAAGCATGCTTAGGCAAGACGCCTTCGTAGCACGCTGCAGTGCAGCGGCTGCACTTTATCTCTGACTTGTTGAATATGCAGCGACCGAAAATGTTTCGCGTCGAGTTACCAGAAACCGATATGTTTGCAAATTTGGTCAAGTTTTTGTCCAGCGACGAATTCGAAGAAAGTCGGTAAATATTTTCAATGTTTTGTTTGCATTTGTTGTTGTTGCTGCTTGGGTAATTGTCCTTGCAACATGTTCTATTGTTTATCATTAATTTTTAACTTGATTTTTACTCACATGAATTTGGACGTTAACTAGTTAATATTACTTTTATATCCAGCTTTACGAATTATTCATTGAATTTTAATAATTATTGCATTACTAATTCCCTAATCGTATTTTTAACCACGATTTTTACCGTTTTTGTGGACTGAAATTTGGCTAATTGTTTAAATATTCCCTATTAACCATAATGTTTGTTTTTTTCGTCTTATTTGGAATAAATTATATGGAAATTTTAATAAAAACAAGTTTTAAATTTATATGAAAATAAGGCAATTAAAAAAATATTAAAGAAGTTTGATATAATATTGTAAAATACCGCTAATTTGTAATATTAGCGTAATTTTTTTTAAAAGTAAATGTATTAATTTATCTAAGGTAATATATGTACATAAGAAAGAAAAATTTGATTAATAGTTAATAAATATAAGTTTAAGGCATATATGCTAACATACAGTATAGCAATATACTAAATATATTACTAAAATTATTTTAAAAATTGTATTCTAAATAATAGAATGTGGTTTTCTTAATAGTAACCTGGGATAAGTTAAAGGCTATTGATTTAATGTTAGTGGATGTAGGTTTGTTTTTAATATACTCAGTTTGTTCCAAATATTTATAAAAATATCAAAAATTATAATATAAATTGGTAACTGTTATTTTACGTTAAATAAACTTAAACCTTGGTATGCTGATATTAAGTTTAAGTTGCAATAATTATCAGCATTTGAATGTTGTTACAAAATATAATATTCTTTATAATATCAATCAAAAATTAACTTTTAGGAGATAAATTATAACTATCATTATAACCGAGTTGTGCGAAAAGTAAAAAGGTAACTATTAGCGAATGAGTTATTAACAGCTGATAGGCATGATGTACGCCATGTAAGTCAGTGCACTGAGAATACTCATGCGGTGAGGTTGATATAATGACAGACCAGAATAAGAGAACTTTGGGGTTTGTACTTACTTATTATAAATATCTAGTTTTGCTTTTCCAAAAACTGTGCTATATAGGAGATATGCCATAATTAATACGCCGAAATCGTGTTTTTCCACCATGATAGAAGTAATAAGCGTTTGAAGTTCAAACTTTGAACCATGAGGTTTTTTGTTGTTGTTTTCTAAACAATTAGGTAATAGTTTATATTAGTATTAATAATTATTATTATATAAATTGTTTTAATGCTGGTGGATGTACATAAGTATTATTTGTTAAATTAAATTTCGTATTTATACTTTTTAACCATGCTGTTGGCATAAGCATATATGCTAACATAATACTTACTTTCATAGATTAACTATTAGCTGATGGAAAAATAACTGATAACTCAGAAAATGTGATTATTATAATAAAATACTAATAGAAAACCAAATAACATAACAGTTAGTAAATACAATATTTAAAATAATAAGGTAATTTTAAGAGTTATTAAAGTGATTTAACTATTAATATTTCTAAACCTTTCTATTAATAAATAAAAGGTAAGGTTAAGTACTTCTTTATACCTTGTAGTATTATGACTGTTAGTTCATATAGGTTTGGCAGAATACGAATCCACTAAAGGGTAACTATTACCTTGTAACAGTTAATGTTATTATTTCTTTTTCTCTGTGTACATAATATTACACAGAAAGAAAAAATTGATTAATAGTTAATAAATATAAGTTTAAGGCATATATGCTAACATACAGTAAAGCAATATACTAAATATAATACTAAAATTATTTTAAAAATTGTATTCTAAATAATAGAATGTGGTTTTCTTAATAGTAATCTGGGATAAGTTAAAGGCTATTGATTTAATGTTAGTGGATGTAGGTTTGTTGTTAATATACTCGGTTTGTTACAAATATTTAGCAAAATATTATAAAATATAATATAAATGGGTAACTGTTATTTTATGATAAATAAACTTAAGTTATATAATATATATTATATATATCGTCCCCGTTCTGGCAAAAGTCATTAACTCCATTTTTGTCTAAAAGTAGTTGACTACCTTCGCGATCATAGAACAATTATATCTGTGGTCTAGAAAAACTTATTAAGTGCAGTATTGTATTTTTAGCATGCTTAAAATACAATACTGCACCTAATAAGTTCTTCTAGACCACAGATATAATTGTTCTATGATCGCGAAGGTAGTCAACTACTTTTAGACAAAAATGGAGTTAATTACTTTTGCCAGAACGGGGACGATATATAATTATACCTTGGTATGCTGATATCAAGTATAAGTTTCAATCATTATCAGCATTTGAATGTTATTGCAAAATATAATATTCTTTATAATATTAACCAAAAATTAACTTAAAAAAAAATAAAAATATAACTATCATTATAACCGAGTTGTGCGAAAAGTAAAAAGGTAACTATTAGCGAATGAGTTATTAACAGCTGATAGGCATGATGTAAACCGTGTACGCCTAATTCAGTGAGAATACTCATGCGCACAGTGAATCGCCTAGTAGCAGCTAGGTGGACAAAAATAATTTTTTTGAATTAATTTAATAATAAACCTATGATAATAACAACCCCTTAAAAGTCATAAATCAAGGTATTAATTATAGCAAAGACATCGGAGCAATAAGTAATAAGCGGTTAAAGTAAAAAGAAGTAAGTATACTTTTTTCGTAAACAAATTTAACACTTAAATTCTCTACTTATTGAAAAAGTAATGTTTTAAATCAAACAACAAATATTTATATTAATAACGCTATAAAACCTAAGTAAATTCCATTTAAGCAAAAAACATATATGTTTTTTGCTTAAATGGAATTTACTTAGGTTTTATAGCGTTATTAATATAAATATTTGTTGTTTGATTTAAAACATTACTTTTTCAATAAGTAGAGAATTTAAGTGTTAAATTTGTTTACGAAAAAAATATTGTAATGGACTTTATTTTTGAGGGTAAGTTTTCTTTTGTTTTATTGAATTATTTTAAAGTATAACTTTTTTTCTCCAAATGTCTCCAGGCTATTTTTGATATTATGATATAGCGACAGTTTTAAGCTTTAAAACGATGTATAGTTTGCTTCCGCCTTGTTCTGCTTTTTTCTTAATTGGCGTATTTTAGATCGCGTGTTTTCAATATCAAAAATGGAACTTTTTGAAGAATGGCAAAAACATGCGGCAGAACAACGAAGATCTCGTGTACTAGATTATGTTTTTAAAAATTTAATATAATTGATATAACTTCCAAGTCGCAGAGATCTTTAAAAAAAATTATATCCATAATAACATCAAAACTAGCTAAGAAATGGACTGCAGCTTATTATAAGATGGACCGTTTTTTAAATAAAAATAGAGCCTGGTTGGATGTAGATATAAAATTTAAAATAACTATGGAACATCCCTTACCATCTACATCTGGAAATTGTCAGCCAGGTCGGCCAAAAAAAATTTATGAAGAATCCCCCTATAAAACTAAAAAAAGGAGAATAAAAGACTTGTTGCAATCGCGAAGTGCCAGTGAATTAACTACAGCAGCCGAAGTGGCAAATCGGTTGGCGGGCAATAGAAAAATAGCCACTTTAATTAAAAAAAGTACTCAAATATCGAAAGAACAAGAATCTAAAAATGTTATTTGTGGTGGTAGGCAGTTAAGTTCTGATGAGGCCTTAGCTTATTACGTAGACTCTAAATGCACTAGTCACTCATATAAGCAGACCCGAAAATGGTCTTTGAAGGCGGGACACAAAGTTTTTCCATCTTACCAAAGTTTAAGTAACTCCAAAAAGTTGTGTTACCCATCAGATGATAATATTTCTGTGACCGAAACACGTGCCCAAATTAAACTTCAAGCCATACTTGATAAAACAGCTGAACGTTTAATTCAAGCACAAAGTGATGTTTTAAAAAGTTTAAATTCTAATTTGTCATTCACATTAATTAGCAAATGGGGGTGTGATGGGAGCTCTGGTCACAGTACCTTTAAACAGAAATTTGAGAACGCCGAACGCCGAAGCTGATGAGTTTCTGTTTGTATTTGCATTTGTTCCTTTAAGGTTGAGTGATGGTCAAAATATTATATGGCAAAATCCAAGGCCATCATCCACGCTCTATTGCCGACCAATTAAGTTTATTTTTTCAAAGGAAACAAATGAATTTACTGAAACAGAAAGTAACAAGGTTTTGAAAGAAGTATCTGAACTTCTTCCAACACACAGAGAAAAGTAATCTCTTGATTTTACTATATCTGTCTTGACTCAAATAAATTATTTATTTCGATATGACCCAAGAAGATATTTATTTAGTGGAAAACTTGGGTTTATTTGACTTTTTAAACTGATGGTTTGTTTAATACAAGTAAATATTTAGTTGACTTTTTATCTCAGGTTTAGTAGAATCTTACTTAAAGAAACAAAACATTTACTTGAAGTAAGTAATTCATTTTTTTAAATTAAATGTGAAGCTTTCTTAAATAAACAAAATATTTACTTACATGAAGAAAACAATTTATTTCAGACAAATAATTAGTACCTTTTAATATTATAATTTCACGAAATATATATAGTATATAGTATATAGTGATTGAACCAAACAAATGTTTGCTTGTTTTAATACTATGATTTATTTATTTTAATGTTGTTAATTACTTGATATTTGGTCGGGAAAATTAAATTAAAAAACGTTTATTCCAATATTTTTTATTTGAACAAAACAAGTGTACACGTATACGTATTTACAATAAAAATTAAAAACACACAATATAAAATTAACAATAAACAAAACATATAATGTATGAGCAAAGAAAAATAGGAACAAAAAATACTGAAGTTCAGTGTAAATATTAATGCACGGCATTAATAAAATACACCAAGTCTGTGGGTATAAGTCAAAACAAGCAATTTTTTCAGCAGAACCTTAAACGTGTTCGCATTAATTCAGGAAATATATTTATGGGACATTTGAACATTTTCAAAAACTTAATTTATTATTATCAGAAAGGTATCTTTGTTGAAAACACCTACCTAGGTAGGTACCTATAGTTTAAAAACAAATACATATATGTATTATATATATATATATATATATATATATATATATATTAGGGTGTTTCAAAAAAATCGACTTTTTCTTTTTCTTCAAATGGTCGGCAAATTCTTTCAGAGGATGTCAACACAAAGACCTCGTCAAAATTTTAGCTTTTAATTTGAAGATTTAGAGGTCGCGGATCGCAATTTTCTATTTCCCATTTAAATAACATGGGAATTTTTTTTTTTTAACTTTGAAATTTTATACGTCTAAATCAAATCAACTTATGTCAAGGATCATCTTAGATTTTCATAGTAAATTTAACGCTCTACAAAAAAGGTCTCCTATCATTTTTCTATAAATTGATTCCTTCGAGAGTTATTCAAGGCCAAAGTTTGATTTCCATAGAATTTTCGCGTTTTTTTAACATTTATGGTACAATTATCATTATACGGGTGGCCAAACTTAAACAGTGCATTATTCGTATAAAAATAACACTTTTTGTTTAATAAACATGTATCAAAAAATGCTCCCTAAAGGAGCTACGGCCCCCTGAATAGGAGCCTAAGAGGATAATTTTTTTTAAACTATTCCTAGAGGGTTGAACATGAACAAATGAATTTTCGGTAGGTACTTTGGTAATTTTGACATGCTGAATCTAGATCTATGATCAAAACTGTTAAAATTTAATCATAGGCGTAACATTTGGAGGGGGCAAAGTTCTGGGTTAATAATTTAATTTTTTTTATGAAATTATGAGAATTTATAGTTTTTTACGAAAAATAGGTACTCTTGATTTGAATTGCTCAGATGCGCCATTTTCGAGAAAAATGCATTTATAAATAAATTACTTTGCATATTATACACATCTCATATTTTCATTAAAACTTTGTAGTAGGCTTTGGAAAAAAGTGACGTTTTTTTGTTTTTTTGTTTTTTTTACAACACTTCATGTGTTTCAGATATAAATATGTGATTTTTTTACTACATGATGCTAAAAGTTGAAAAAACGAGAAAATTCGATGGAAATCAAACTTTGGCCTCGAATAACTCTGGAAGAAATCAATTTATAGAAAAATTATAAAAGACATTTTTTATAGAGCGTTAAATTTACTATAAAAATCTAAGATGTTCCTTGCCATAAGTTGATTCGATATAGACGTATAAAATTACAAAGTTAAAAAAAAAAATTTCCTATGTTATTTAAATGGGAAATAGAAAATTGCGATCCGCGACCTCTAAATCTTCAAATTAAAAGCTCAAATTTTAACGAGGTCTTTGTTTTGACATCCTCTGAAAGAATTTGCTGACCATTTGAAGAAAAAGAAAAAGTCGATTTTTTTGAAACACCCTAATATATATATATATATATATATATAGTTTGCCAACCAAAATTACTTGCACTTGTCAAATACAAAAAGAAACGGTTTATTTTTAGTTTATGGCCTGTAAGTAAAATGTGCAATTATATTTAAAAGCTACAAGTCAAGTCTGAGACATGCATGATCCAAAATAAAATAGGTACCCATATTATCATATAACTTTGTAGTTTCCAAACTACCTAGGTACACAAAATTTTAATTAACTAAATCACTTTTACTTACCAACAAAACTAAAAAGCAAATGGGTTAAATTATTTTCTTTGAAGAATTCTTCCATACTATTAAACATAAGCACTTAAACACAAAACTATAACCGTTGATTAAACACCTCCTTCTCTTAAGTTGCGAGTTTGTTTGCAAATGCTGCCGGCTGCCGGCTGCCGGACAAGCGTCTTTGTCTTTGGAGTCAAATGCTCTAATTGGCTCCGCGAGTCACGTGGACATAAAAGCAAATAAATATGTATTTGCTTCAAGTAAATGTATTTTTGAAACAAACAAATCACGTGTTTACGTTAATTATATGACATACATTGTATCAATTCTATTATTTTGTTAAAATAAGATATTATATGCTTGTATATTAACATTTGATAAAACTAAATCCATACAACCTATATCCAAACAATTTAATTAATTGTTCTAAATAAATATTTCTTTACAATTAATCACAACAATAAGTTGTTTTCAAGAAACTCATGATTTACAACCAAATAATAGTATTTTCTTATTGTAAACAAGAAGTTACTACGAATAAGACAATTTTACTTCATACAAGAAAAACTGTTTCAAATAAATGCATTTTCTTAAATCAAGAGATTACTTTTCTCTGTGCACATTGTAGTATTGGCGAATCTCAAATTTCTGTTAAACACAATCTCCTACAAACCATGGTAGACGGAAAAGTTAGCAATGCGTTAACCAACACAAAATCTCCACAAAAATGCTATATCTGTGGGGCAACTCCCAAAATAATGAATGGCAAATTAAAAAACGTTGCTAAAAAAGAACATTACGGTTTTGGTTTGTCTACTTTACATGCGTGGATTCGTTGTTTTGAATGCTTTTTGCACATAGGCTATCGCTTAAATATTAAAAAATGGCAAGCTATAGATGACAGTGATAAAATTAGTTTACAACAGCGGTCGGCAGAGATTAAAAAAAAGTTTAAAAATCAAATGGGACTTATTGTAGACAAACCAAAACCTGGTTATGGAAATACAAATGATGGGAACACAGTGCGTAGGTTCTTTATGAATCCAAAACTGAGTGGGGAAATTACAGGATTGGATGTTAATTTAATAAAGAAGTTTTGTATTATATTAAGGACGTTATCTTCCGGGTATGATATTAATGTTGATAAATTTGAAAAACTTTGTCATTAAACCAGAAGTGATTATTTAAATCTATATTCGGGGTACTATGCCTGTTACTGTGCACAAAATTTTGGTACATAGCACGGAGGTAATTAAATCATGCATTCTTCCAATCGGGCAGCTCTCCGAAGAATCTCAAAAGTCTCGGAATAAGGATTGCCGTAGATTTAGACAGCACCATACAAGGAAGCAGTCACGCGTTTCCACGAGTATAGATTTGCTACACATGCTTTTAATAACATCTGATCCTGTAATCAACTCACTCAGAGAAATACCTAAAAGGAAAAGCGAAAAATTTTCGGTTGAAGTGTTGGATTTACTTGTTTCGCCTTCAATACCAAAACAACAACAACAAAGAAGTGATGATGAAGAATATTTAATAGAGGATTCGTCTGACAGTAATGATGAGTAGTGACGATTAGTAGTTTAAATATTTGAAAAATTATATTTTGTTTAATTTTTTTCAACAATTTTGTTTAAATATTTTTTTAAATTATTTTTCGTGTATTTTCAGGGTATTTAGAATACATTAAGCCAATAATAGTATATTACACTACAAGGGCAGAAAGTGTGAGATTCCTGCACTGCGCGCCATGATGCCCGAGGCGAAGCCGAGGGCATCATGGCGCGCAGTTCAGGACTCTCACACTTTCTGCCCGTGTAGTGTATACTATTTTTCTTGCTACCCCGCAGAAAATACGGGAAAAAATTAAATGTATATAAAAAAACTTGTGTCAAAATTAAAATATGACGTTTAATTTAATTCTGACGTTTACATTCAAAATCAATCAAACTGTAGCGTTGTCATGGTAATTCAGCGGTTCCAATACAGTAAAAATAAAAGGTTGTATTTTAATTAACAAATTACTACTTTATTACAAATAAAAGTACCATTAAACACTTAAAACAACATAAAAAGTAAAAAAGTAAAAACATAAATTGTTTATTTGTTGTTATAATTGCAAAATTATGGTTTAAAACTGTCATATTTTTGTGTTTCTCATGTTGGCAGTACGAAATTTGAATTGTGCTTAACGACTAAAAAATTTTTACTCCCGCTATTAGAGTGTGCGCGTATAGCTTGACCAATGCAAGAAACGTAAACTTTCTGCCGTGAAATCGGGGACGAAACAACGTATTTTGAGTCGAGGTAGTAAGAAAAATAATTATGTCCAGCTAGAATGGCAATTCAGCTCACTGTGATGCGGTGAGGTTAATACAATGACCAGGCCCGTTCCTGGGGTGCCTGGCGCCTGCGTGCAGCATTCGTTGGTGCGCCCCTTTTATATTTAAATAAATTAATTAAATAATTTAATTAAATATTTGAATTTTAAGCCGTAAAATTTAAAAAATATATATTTTGGGACAAACTGGCAATATATAATTGAAAATAACATAACGGCATCTATTTTTTCCGAAAAAAATCGAAAAAACACGTTCCTAAGTAATATTTTAATAAGAAGCATGACACGGTGCTGTTCTGAGAGGTGATTTTTGGACTTTCTGTGAAACCTAATTTTTTTTTATATTCTTGTTAATTAGGTCATAACTAAAATTTTAAGAGCAAAATAAAAAAAATTTGACGGTTTGAATTGTTTTAATTGGCTGTTTATTAAAAATATTATGCACTCTTTCAATTATCCAATTAAAACTAGCGATTTAATTTAAATATTTAATATTTGCATAACTAAAAAAAAGGTTTTTACAATTTTTTTTATATATTTTACTGTTTTGTTGCAATAAACGTCCAAACTTTTAATTTAACCTTTGACGTATACATTTATGTTCCCTTAATTAATATATCCTTAAAGGTTGCCATGAAACTTAGATCTATTAAAAATTTATTTGATTTTTGAATTGTCATTTTCAGTATACGTATTCTATAATTTTTGTTTAGTTTTTTAAAGTGTTTTTTATAAACAAAAATGAAAAATTGTAGTAAAAGTTACGAAGAAATTCATGAAATTTATTTCATTAATTCATCTTTAGTAAAGTTTATCGGGCCGATAACTTTCATGTCTTGGCAATATCTAGTATCCAAAGAAATTATTCGTCAAATAAATCAAAAATGAATAAATCGGCCCCAAATAAAATGTGGCACCCTTAGAATTATTGTTTAATAAATGTATACTATACATTTAACCTTAAATTAAAACTTTAAACGTGTATACATTACAACAAAACAGTAAAAGATATAAAAAATGTATAGACCTTTTTTTAGGAAATTAACTAATCTTTAATCTGATTTAAAAAGTTATGATAATTTAAATTAAATCGCTAGTTTTAATTGGATAATTGAAAGAGTGCATAATATTTTTAATAAACAGCCAATTAAAACAATTCAAACCGTCAAATTTTTTTTATTTTGCTCTTAAAATTTTAGTTATGACCTAATTAAGAGCCATTCCACGCGTGACGGATGGGATAGTTGCCGTGTTTTTATTTACAAAATAATGTTGTTCTATTGTATTGCCAATGTCAAATTTTTATAAATGGTTCTAAACTGGAGCTGTTTAACAAGGTTTTTATTTGGCAAAATTGGGTATCGTGATTGACTGTCCAATTCCTTAAAAACTAATAATTTAAAGCGTAACGGTCGGGACTTTGCAATAGTCCCGCCCGTTACGCTTTAAATTATTAATTTTTAAGGAATTGGACAGTCAATCACGATACCTAATTTTGCCAAATAAAAACCTTGTTAAACAGCTTTTGTTTAGAGCTATTTATAAAAATTTGACATTGGTAATATGGTGGAACAATATTATTTTGTAAATAAAAACACGGCGGCTGTCCTATCCGTTAAGCGTGGAATGGCCCTTAACAAGAATATAAAAAAAAAATAGGTTTCACAGAAAGTCCAAAAATCACCTCTCAGAACAGCACCGTGATGAGTGCTGTTGGCAACAAAAATCCGAGTCGAAGACGATTTTTTTCACAGGAAAAGTTAGATGCCCTAATGGTATTTGACAAGACTATTTCATATATATATACTATTTATATATATATATATATATATATATATATATATATATATATATATATATATATTAGGGTGGTTCAAAGGACTATAGTGCAAAAATTAAACTTTTAATTTTATTTGATCTCATCCCTCCATTTGGTGACAATATAAAAAAAAATGAGTTTACCAAAATTTGAGCAATATCGAATTATATTAAGAGGTCGCGCAGAAGTAATAAAATTAAACGTAGAGTAGTGTAAATAGCAAAAAATGTATGATGTTATATATATAGCTTGCATTCCAATCTAGGGTTTAGATTTGAATGCAAAACGAATTTAAATGTTCTCAAATAAAACATACAAGCGTTATGTATTAGAAATCAAAAGGTTTTACAATGGTTTTTTTATTACAATCAGGGTATCTTTGTCGATGTTCCTGCACAACTTGAAGAAGACATTGCTTTTGTTCTTCATTCTTTGTAATTGTGGAAGAATAGGCTTCAATGAGGGCTACACCCCTCTCCGCATTATCATTTACCACACGGAGATTTTTTACTATTTCAAGGCCATCCTGATAACTTTTTTGCATTGCCCATTTTTCAGCTTTCATTTGAAGGAATTCCATATCAATTCCTAAATTTCTAAAGAAAAAAACAGTGTTGGTTGTCACGAAGTTCGCTATTGTCATACTATTTATGGGTTTTTGAAGATTTATTATGTTTGCTTTCTTTGAGGGTTCGGCCTCTCCCTGATTCTCGTGTAGAGCAATAACCATTCTCTCTTTTTCTTCAGGTGAAATACCCATATCAAAAAAAGCAAGTGCTACAAGGTGATCGCTAAGATACCAAAGATGTCGTTTCCATTTTTCAAGTGCAATCTGAGACACAGTTAAATTTTTTTCTTCATACTCTTTAAGTTGCTTTAAAAGTTTAAGGTCGTTTCTTGGTGCTTGTATAGGTAAAGGAGCACCAAACCAATTTTTTAAATATATCCGGATAATAAAAATGCAAATGTCTTTAAGAGCTTTTTCTTCCTGTAGAGTTAGCTTAAACTGCCCTCGAAACATCCATAACTTAAGGCTGTATAGGATCTTAGCCATCCATCTAGCGTGATGCAGTGCTCCTGGAGAACGAAATCGTACACCACGGGGAGGGGTTCCTCCAAGAAAAATTATAAGAAGTTCAAGAATTTCTCTGTAATCCTCACGCGGCTGAATTACCTGCAGAATAAAAGAAAGGTGTTGACTTACTTAAGAATAATTTATTAATGCAATTAAGATAATAAAATAGTCATTAAAACATTAGGTAACTTACCTCAAGTTGTTTCTCTGCAAACTCCAATACACCCTGAATTTCATCCTGGATGGCTGCACACATTTCATTATTTTGTACACCAGGCTCATATTTGGTATGATCAATTTTTGACCAACATTTCTGAAACCGTTTAAATAAAGGTACATCTGGTCCACAAGAAGATCCAGTGCATTTTGTATATACGGCAGCTAATACAATTTCTAACATATGGTGTCTGCAGGCGAAATGCAAAAGAGTTCTTCCCAACTTTTTCTCAAGCATGAGACAGGCTCCAGATTTTGTACCAGTATTGCTTGCTGTCGTATCAAAACACATTCCCCGAATATGGTCAGAAACACCCCATTTATCCAGGAGTTCTGCAACTGCGTTCGCCTGAGCTTGTCCAGTTCCTGATATTAGCTTGGGAACACCCAATAGCTGATCTTTAATGTGTGGTCCAGATAAAATAACGGGAAGGCGCTCCACCATTTCTTTTCCAGACACGTTCTGCAGAAGTTTTCCGTCCCAATGCACTATGAAAGGCCCTTGAGCTTGGAAATTATTTTTTATATTTGTAGAGAGCTTGGCACGAGCATTTTGCCTCGCTCTTCGCAGAGATGAGCGACTCAGTGGGATATCGGCAACGTTCTGACCCAGACTTTGAAGCGTAGCAGTGACTATAAAAGTCGCTTTTCGGTCACTTATATTAGCTCTGTCAAGCGTAGCAGCGAGCTGGGGTGTGATTAGAGATGTGCTTCCAGTGCCACGAACTTTCTTTCTCTTTTGCACCTTTCCCTTTTCAGGCATCTGTTTATTGTAGTTACTCGGAATCGAGAAATTATTATCGCTATTATAACTACTGTCTGACCCGAGGTCTGTGCTTGTTCTCAACACGTCACTGACAAACTCACTACTACTATTAGTGTATTTTCGTTGCTCTTTACGTTCACATCTAAGCTGGTATTCCTTCTTCCTCTTTTCAGCTTTACATTCTTTTAGATGTAAAACTTTGTCTCTTCCCATAATGCAGCCACGCCGCTTTTTTTCTCGCTGCGTTATTAAGAAGTTTCGGACTTCTTCAATTTTAATTAGGGTGAGTGCATCCGCATGGGCTATATCAAATAAATCTTCTAAAGTATCAATAAAATTTTGTTCTTTTAAACGTTGAGTTGCACTTTTTCTTTTAGAGCTCTTTTTTAATAGATTCCAACTTCCGTGAAGTTTTTCTAGCTTCGCTATTGCGTGTTGCTCTTCT